CTGGGTACTTTTAAGAACCAACTAAAAACATGGATGTTTAGGCAGGCCTTCCCTTCCAGTTAATTCCTGTCCTCTTTCTTTTTTCTCTCTCTTCATTTGATTTATTTTTATTTTTCCCATCTTATAGAATCATTTAATTAATTAATTGTTATAATTTTTTTTAGAACTTGTTATCCTTATGTTGTAAGCCGCCTAGAGTGGTTGAAATGACTAGATAGGTGGGGTATAAATACAATAAATGAATGAATGAATGAATGAATGAATGAATGAATGAATGAATGAATGAATGAATATATACCACCCCATAGTGCTAGAACACTCTCGGGTGGGGTGTTACAATATAATTATGCAAGGAATACTCCCCCCCCCCGGGTTATTTTCAGCATTGCCCTGACTTTGGAAAAAGTTTGATACAAAACATCCAGAGTCACAGGAAATACACCCAGCATGATGACTGGGGGAATTTTCAGCATTGTAGCTAAATGAAAGCAAGCAAGGGTTATTTTCAGCACCGCCCTGACTTTGGAAAAAGTTTGATACAGAACATCCAGGGTCACAGGAAATACACCCAGCATGGTGACTGGGGGAATTCTCAGCATTGTAGCTAAATGAAAGCAAGCAAGCAAGCAAACGATTAACTAAGGAGGCAGCTACACTGACATATAATACAGGAAATGCTCCAGGATGGGGACAGCCAGATTTGTAATATTTTCTATTTACATCATGTAGAAGTCAATGTGAATCAGCTTAGAGCACTCCCCACTATTTTTACTTTTTCCTTCCACCACTGGGGCTTCTACTTCCCCCCCCCCATCCCCATGAATGCATTCGTATCGGTTCGGTGGTGAGATTGCTTGAGCTGATGCAGCTTCATGACTGAATGGGTGATCAGAAACTGTCTGTGTCAGCTTCCTAGTTCAAGGGAGGAGACAGGAACCAAAAGGCATTCGTGGAGGTATCAGTTCCTTTCAGCTGAGCCCAGCTTGTCTTCAGGCACCGTCTTCCCCACTAGGGCAAGTTATAATGGTCAGAATCCTATTGGCGTTTATGTAAGATTTGTGCAACTGGTATTTGTTATTTCAATTTAAGGAGTGAAGATTTGTGTTTTCTAGACTGCTCTTTCTGAATTCCTCAGGTAGCATGGCGCCTAGCCTATTCTGGGAGCTTTAATCCAAAGATACAAACCTGCACACCTTTTATTTCAATTATAGTTACTGTTTATCAAGTTGTTGTATCTTCTATTTTGTCTCTTTCATCAGAGTTGTCCCCCGTAAGCCACGTTACTGCCATCCAAACACGCTGAAAAATCTGTGAAATGAGGCACTAATGGGATGGAGGGGGGAATCGTTTCATGTAACCATTTTTCCTTAAGCTACTCAGTCAGTTCTGCACACTTTGAATCAATGCTCTCTCTCTCTCTCTGGCTAGGGTCGATCCATCCATCTGTTATTTATTGCCCAGTTCCCAAGCAGGTTTTCCAGGGAAAAGAGGATCCCCCTTTCAGGTCTGCCCACCCACTGGCTGACCAGCCCTCCACATGGGTCAGCAGAGGCCCCATCTTCTTTTGCCCTCTACAAAGATAACCTCCAGGACAGTGGACTTCCCTTGCAGGCGGAGAGTATGATCTACTCTCTGCTCTCCAGAGCCGACAGGCAAATTGATTTATACTGTATCCCCTGCTCGGTTCTGGGCGCTTCCATTCAATCTCTGTTCCCCATAATAAGGCAGACAGCCAAGAAAGTGCAACGTGATTTGTCACTGCGGTAATTCTTCATTGCTTTTAGAATGGGGCTTTTGTTTCCAGTTTTCTCCCCATATAACAAACTCCGAGAGCCGTAAATGCCAAAATGGATGGAACAAACACAAAGATGCAGAAAGGGGGGTGGGAGTGTTTCCAGGCACAAACAGGCTGAGGGTCCCTGAATAAACGGCCAGACAGCGACTCCCATTCACTTTCTTCTCAAAGAGAGAGGCAGGGTTTCCCTCTCTCTCGCTCCCTGATGGGAGCTTTGAAACCTCCCTAGTTATGTCAGCAGCGGAGGTCCGATTTCCAAGCTACTGCTGGAGTGAGGTCAGTAGTCGGGACTGTTTAGCTCCCAGCCATGCCTCAGAGCACACGCTTTTCTGAGGCATTCAGCAACATTTCCTGAAAACTTGTGACTCTCTTAGCATCTCCTGGTTTGTCCACACAACCACCTCGGAAGCAGGACCGAAACAGAAGCCCCAAAGATCTTTAGCTTCTCCACTCTGTGGAGATGGCTGCATTTCTAGTCGTGGCAGAAACGATCCTGCTTTTCCCGGCCCATCTCAGTTTCTTCGCTCACCTCACTGGAAGTTTCTTCTCTCCCTTTTCCACATCTAAATTTGAGTTCTTCCCTTGGAAAAAAAAAACACACCTGCACCACAATATAATTTAAATTGATCATGCTTTCCCTTAAAAGATACTTTAAAAAAACATTTTCCTAAATTACTCATTTTTACATATACAGTATATAGCTTTTGAAAAAAGCCTCTTGCTACAATATTTTGGGCATCCCAGAGATTCTGGGAGTTATATCCCTCTTCCCCTCCCCAAAAAAATCCAGGCTCTTTTGGGGGGTTGTGTACTATTTAAAAGATAACTGTGCTGTGATCTGAGAAGCAACAATTCATTTACAGTAGGTTACTTAAAAATGCTGATGAATTGATCTTCACCAAGCAAAATCTTTGAAATCATTTCTGAGATTGTATCCCATCAAAACGTTCATAAAATATCTGTAGTTTGAAATTAATTGTAGTATATAGACACATACTGCTATTCTTTCTCTTTTATCCCATACTTATGTGGAGGTATGAAACATTTATCATAAAAACAGTTGCATACATTGCATTCTCTCCCCTCCATTCAAGTCCACCACCCCACCCAAGCGTGTCACATAACGATTTCAGTAATCTGCATTTCTTATCAGAGGTTTTTGTGCGTTGTTATTCCAATATTATGGCTGGAAGAGAACGATCTGCTTATGGCCATACATACTAAGGATAGTTTTGGTTGGAGCTTGGAAATGTTGTGTTCGGAGACCTGAAATCCTCGAATCCCCCGGCCAATGTGGTCATGCTGGCTGGGGGAATTCCCGGAGTAGTAATTTAAAACAAATAAGCAAACTCCAAGCTGTGGATTTGGTGGGATTTAGTAGCAACACAGATTTAACTTGAAAAGCCTATCTTCTGTTTTTTTTATTAATGCAAATACAAAACCACAACATACATATAAGTGCAAAATTTTTCTCCTAATATCAAGCTATAATACTTTGCTGTACTGCTGCAGGTGTTTTCCGTCTCTGCATGCCCAGTAATACAGCTAGGGCTTAGTTTAAACTGTTCTGGTGTGATGTGATGATTTCTAGCTTCTATTGCATCACTAAATGGTCCGGCGACTGCAACTGGTCCAGAATCGAGCTGCGCGGCTGGTGAGTGGTGGAGCCGCTAGAGATCACATCAAGCCGATTCTGTTCAATTTACATTGGTTACCAGTTGCTGCCCGGGCCCAATTCAAAGTGCTTGTTTTGACATATAAAGCCCTAAACGGCTTGGGCCCTGGATACCTGAAGGACCGCCTCCTTCCATCTGCTTATGGCCATACATACTAAGGATAGTTTTGGTTGGAGCTTGGAAATGTTGTGTTCGGAGACCTGAAATCCTCGAATCCCCCAGCCAATGTGGTCATGCTGGCTGGGGGGATTCCCGGAGTAGTAATTTAAAACAAATAAGCAAACTCCAAGCTGTGGATTTGGTGGGATTTAGTAGCAACACAGATTTAACTTGAAAAGCCTATCTTCTGTTTTTTTTATTAATGCAAATACAAAACCACAACATACATATAAGTGCAAAATTTTTCTCCTAATATCAAGCTATAATACTTTGCTGTACTGCTGCAGGTGTTTTCCGTCTCTGCATGCCCAGTAATACAGCTAGGGCTTAATTTAAACTATTCTGGTGTGATGTGATGATTTCTAGGTTTCATTGCATCACTAATATTGCATCACTATTTTCACAGTGTGATCCGTTCTTGGGGGGGCTCTGGTTTCATGGCCTGGCTTGCTATGTGCCTAACGAGAGAGGCAAGGATGACGTGCTTCGCTCTCCTTCCTTGCAGACTTCCTGCCTTCAGCATCTCCTCTCGATGGACTGCTCTGTCCAGACACTTCTGTGGAGAGCTCCGAGGAAATGCAGCAGAAGCCTGCATGGCAAGCTCTACCTGTGTGGGAATGGAACGCAGCCTGGGTGGATGAGATGGAGGCCAAGTACAAGCAGCAGGTGGAGGACTGGAGTGGAGTTCCCAAGACAGGGAAAGTAAAGGCCACAGCCCTGGGGGAGACCCGGCCCCTCCCTGCCGCCCCCTCGCAGGAAATAAACGGCAAGTATCGGTGCACGTGTGTTGGGCTTCTAGAAAGAGAAACATCTGCCCATTAGAAGAAATGGGGCAGTCATACTTCGTCACTAAGAAATGTCAGGCAAAATAAACGAAAAATTAAAAAAAAGACAAGAGCATTGTGGCAGCTTAAAGACTAACTGCTATATTTTAATGTGAACTTTTGTGGACAAGTCTGAGGGAATAGATTTGCCCACGAAATCTCATGATAGAATATAGCAGCTAGTCTTTAAGGTGCCCCCACATCTCTGTCATTTTTATTATCCTCCCCTCCCCGCCCCGTTTTTGCCTGGTATGCTAGCACAGACTAACATGGCTGCCTCTTCTAAAATCACTAAAAATGCACCCTGTTTTCTTAAGCTGGCACTTGAAACAGCACCAGGTCTGGGCAACCTTTAGAAAATTTACCTTTTTTTTTTAAAGGTAATGTTTCTAAACTGGTTAGGGATGGATTGATTGGATTCTTTCCCTTTCTGCAAAGTTAGATTGCTTCCGAAGGACACGGAGATTCTGTCCCATTTCCACATCAGTTTGGGAAAGTCTTATTCAAACACTGTGCCGAAATGTGCATGTGTTTCATGACTCTTCATATGGATATAAGGTTTCTTAATATGCAGATATTTGGGGGGAAGCAATTTCCACTTTGGAATACATACTATTTTCCTTAATGCCTACTAGTTTCTCCTCGTCGCGGGTCTCAAGAGACTGTGGTTAGTTCTCTCTCCAGGGTTACGTAGGAAAGAGGTTTCCCATCTTCATGGCTTGCCGTGTGATAAGCCCCATCTAGTGCAGAATCAACATGTCAAGGAGGCAATCGGGCAGCAGCAACCATATCAAGGAGTAGCAGCAGGAAGGCAGGAGGAGACACAACTCTATAGCCGACCAGGGCTTCCCCTACTTAGGCGGGGCTGCGCAAGCGTAGCCCTCCAGATGTTTATTGGACTGCAACTCCTGTTCTTCTGAACTGGCTGTGCTGGTTTAAGTTGCTGGGAGCTGTAGGCCAAAGACAATTAAGTAATCAATCAATCAATCAATCAATCAATCAATCAATCAATCAATCAATCAATCAATCAATCAATCAATCAATCAATCAATCAATATTAATTAATTGATTTTAAAAAATGCCAACCCTCCCAATCAAACCCTACACGAGACCACAGACCTAGTCAGATATCTGACAGTTCCAGTCCCTGTGGTCAGTTAGGAATGGACAAAGTAACTTGCATAGGTGCAGGGGATGAGAAAGACCTTTTCCCTGCTAGAGACTTTGGTGAGACAGTCCTGAGTTAGATAGTTGCAGTGTACGCATCCTGATCCCACTATCCACATCCTGAGTGTTGACTTTTGCAGTGACTGCCGTTCTTACCGAGGGCCAGCCTTAATCTTTCCTGTTGAATTCACTGAGATGGCTTCCCTCTGACTGGGGGGCAGACAGATCTTTCCCCTTCTGCATTTTTCCGGGTGGCGCTAGTGGCATAGCGCCGAACTTGAGACACAGGTGCTTGTTCTACTAGGAGAGTCTGGGCGAGCCAAAGGAAGCAGAGTTGGGAGACATGTTCTGCCCCAGGGAGGATATTGCTCACACCTCAAGCGCCTGGCCGTTGGAGCTGATCTGCTAGAGACTGGCAGGAAGAGACACTAAATCTAAGCCCTGTGGGATCTGTAGATCTAAGTCAGGGACCATCGGGGGCAGAGTTTGTGTTTATTTGCTTTGCTTTAGCTTCATGTGTGTCTTGCTGATTGCTTGTACGTTCACCAGCACAGGGGCTGGCCGTGCCTTGATTATTAGAGATGGTTTTGCATTAAAAAAATTGCACAGACAAAAGAATGGATGACAGGTGGTGCTTTCCGGTTGCCTGCAGCCTTGCGACTTGGCAGGCGGTTGCACCTGCCAAAACGACCTTGTTTCCTGAGCCATTAAAGGAACATGAACTTCATTGTCAGCTGCACTAGGAGGTTCTTCTATGTGACCCAGATCTTTAATGCCATCCTGAACAAACTGGGACACCCTCCGTCCTGCACTTTTGCAAACACATGGCCTTCTTTAGGTTTTGCTTAAAGTTGCTTCCTATCCATTGAAGAGCTTGACTCGTTCCTGCTCCTTTTACAATATATCTTCTATGTTATGATTATTTTGTAATTGGCAGAAGAATGCAATAGGCTAATGCTGAGATCTCAGGAGTGTAGTCAGGAGGGGAGAGAAAAACGTGACATTTTTAGTCTTATGAAATCCGCAGGTAGGCACTGCGGGAGCAAAATGCGTGTCCAAAATGAATTAGGTAAATCCCCAAAGCTGTCTTGCATGGCCTGAAATGCATGTATGTATTTGTTTATTTAAAATATCTTTACCCTGCCTTTCTTTTTAAAAAGGACACAGGGTCATTGACAACATCAAAAAGATGATATTTAAAAGCTAAAAAAAGGTATATACTTTTAAAAAAAAAGAATTAAAAGAATTTAAAAGAATTAAACAAATATTATATTAAAGACAGTAAAAAAAATTAAAAGAATTTTAAAAAAATAAACAAATATATTAAAAACAGTAAATAAAAGCAATGCTAAAAAAACACATTTAAAAGCAGGAAGGCTCAACCCTGCATTAAAAAAACAAACAAACCCCTCTCAGACACCCGGTCACTCAGGGAAAGCCTGTCTGATAAGGAGGGTCTCTGTCTGCTTGTGGAAAGGCAGTACAGATGGAGCCAGCTTGGCTCCCTGTGGGAGGGAGTTCCACAGTCTGGGTTCAGCAACAGAGAAGGACCTCCTGTCTCGTCCCCACCAAACACATGTATGAAGGTGATGGGACTGAGAGGAGTTCCCCTGATGATCTTAACACCCAGGTAGACTCGTAAAGGGAGACACGATCCTTGAGATAGCTTAGACCCAAGGCATTTAGGCTTTTTAACCAGTTGTGGTCCCCAACTGGAGGATACCTATTGCATTCAAGAACTTGGCAAGTCCTCTCCTACTTATGTGCTGTTGATTCAAATGGTCTACTCTAGTTGGCAATCAGTAACAACTGGATTTGAACTCTGTCTGCCTTTGTTTCACTATGGAGGAATTTCCAAAGAAGCCGTTGCGCTAGTCTTGTCCTAGCATGTTGGCAGAATTAGGGCCCTCTCTCATGCAGTTTGAGCCAGAGTCACTCTTCCGTATGAAACACCACCTTTACCATCTCTCGTGTTTGCTCCAAATGGCCTTCTTTTGTAGAAACAGGTTGACTTCCCTTCTGGGGATGAGGAAGAAACACCTGAAGGCTGAGTGAGTTTCGGCCACTCTCGGCCGCTTGTGGCTGTTTCAGGATCATTTGGGGGTCGGGAGAAGAGAGGGAAAAAAAGACCTATTGATTTCCAATCCTCTGACTGACTGACGGGAGGCCTTGATGGCCTCACACACCTTTGCGCCTCAGCAAGCAGGAAAGAGAGATTCAATTAGGGATGGCCTGGCCTGATGGAAGTCTCCAGAACAGCCCACGCCTTCTGCCGTATTCGCTTTGGATCAGAGCCTTGCCCTGGAGGAGACAAATGGCTGTTCCTCAGCTTCTATGTTCTGACACTCTGTGACCTCCATCCCTGAGGCGAATAAGGAGGGGTTCTCCTCATACATCTGGGCAATCACTCATATAAGCTGCTCAAAAGACTGCTTTGTCAGACCTAGAATATAAAGCAAATGTGGCGTTGAGCTTTCTTAGCAGCCTTGTAAAGAATGGCCCAAGAGGAATTGAACTGGAACAGCACAATTCTCACACTGCAAGCTGAACAGAAGCCCACCATCTCTGTACAGTGGTGCCTCGCTAGACGATGATAATCCGTTCCACTGAAATAGCTGTTTAGCGAAATCATTGTCTAGTGAAAAGCATTTCCCCAGTGGAATGCATTGAAACTTGTTTAATGTGTTCCAATGGGGAAGAATTGTTGTTGTCTAGCGGAGATAAGCCAGAGGAAAGCCGCTTTGCGAACCGCCGATCAGCTGTTTAAATCGCTGTCTTGCGAAGCTTAGGTCCCAAAAACACCTGTTTGCGAGCGCGGAGGGAGCTGTCAAAATTGTCATCTAGTGAAAATTGGTTTGCGAAGCAGGGACCAAACATTGTCCAGCGAAATTCCCCCATAGGAATCACTGTTTTGCGAATCAATATAGCGATCGCAAAAAGCCAATGTCTAGCGAAAAAACTGTCATGTGGGGTAACTGTCTAGCGAGGCACCACTGTACGTCTGTAAAGAGAGAGGGGTGGGTTGTAGCTCAGTGGCAGAACATGTTCCTTTCACTCAGGGGGTCCCACCTTTTCTCCCTGTCACAAGATCAATGAGTGACAGGGGCCCTGGGGTTCAAATTATCTCCCATTGGCTACATACCCTTCCTGATGAGGCCACTTCTATTGTTTCGTATCATAGGGAAGGTATGGGTTTACTTGAGATGCTTGCCCTGTGGTTTATATTTTAGTTTAAAACTGGGTTAGGGTTGGGGGGGTTGGGTCCCCTCCCTTTTGTTATGTCACCTACCACTGAAATGCCCCTCTTTCCACCCATTAGAACTACTGCCAAACCACACAGGGCATATTGGGGAAATTTAATTTAAAAAAGATTTCTGGGAATTGGTTATTCATCTAGCAGAATATCAGGTAGAGCAACAACAATAATGTGTGGAGAGGTCAGCCCAGTCTCATCCACACCTTCCCTGGTTTTGCACACAAACTAGCACTTTGAGTGGTAAAGACCACTTTGGAAGCATTAAAAGTAGTAAAAGGAGACTTTACTTACAGTTACCATGGGTGGTTACAGTCAGAAGAAAAATATCAGAGGTGGTGAAAGAAAAGAACCATCACATTAGGCTTTAAAGCTCCCTTCCCACTGATACACAGTATACGTGCATGCAGGATTGCTGGTATCCCAAGACTCTTGTTTAATATTGGAAACAAAACAGAGTCAATTCTGGTTGATATTTGTGTGAAGCAGCTCTAAGGAAACTCAAGGAAACTCGGACTTTCTGAGTTTCTGGGAGACTGACCACCCCCTCAGGCTTCCCTGTCCTTTCTGAGCTTAGCTGTAGTCTTCCTCTAGCTGAGAAGGAAATTGATTCTCCTAGGAACAACATATTGTTGCAAGCGATCCTTTTGTGCAAAGCAAAATATTGGAGATGGTTTGGACTTGAAGGGGGTGGTATAGTGCATAGAGTGACAGACCATGGGTATGACTAGATGTCCAAACAGGAGCAGGCTGCATCAGGCGGAATCGGGTTGCTTCAGGCTGCATAGCGGTGTAACCTGAAGCAACCCAGTTTATGCCGTTTGGTGCAGTCCTTGCGGACATGTGCAATGATCGGGTGGTTTGGGGTCATGGAATCGCCCCACACTTCAAGTGACTCTATTTGCTCTTTCTCCCTTTAAAGAGAGGGGAAGGAGAAAACAAGAAAAGGTTCACTTCCTTGTCCTCTCCTATCTCTTCCTCTTTCTGGAAGGAAGCTTTTAATTTATATAAATATTTTTTTCTGAAAGGCACAGCATATCAGCACTGCCATACAAGGCTGAACCCCTCCACCAAAAACAAAAAAAAAAACAAAAAAAAAAGTTACAAGGCTGAACCCCTCCACCAAAAAAAAACAAAAAACACCTTTGCTTCATCTCTCTCTCTCCTTCCACAGAGGAGCAGGAGAAAGCTTTCCATTTCTGAAGATCACTCGGTTCGCTGGAACCGAACCACACCAGGGCCATCCTACTTGCCAGAGAGGTGCAGGTAGACATGGACCAGGGACAAGATGGTTGGCTACGCATCAGATGTTGTGTAGCTGCTGAGAAAAGAAGCAAACCAGCCCACCTCCAAGCCCAGCCAAACAGCTGGACAAATCCCCATCTAACTGCACCCTAGGACTTAGAGAACTGTAGAATCATGGAGTTGGAAAGGGCCCATACGGCCACTGTGTCCAACCCCTTGCTCAATGCAGGAATCCAAATCAAAGCAGATCTGACAGATGGTTGTCTGTTTTCTCATGAATGCCTCCAGATTTGGAGCGTTCACCATCTCCTGAGGTAATTGGTTCCGGTTACAAAGTTTTCCTTATATTCAACTGAAATCTGGCTTCCTGAAATTTGAACCCATTATTAAATGTCCTGCACTCTGGGATGATTGAAAACAGATCCTGCCCCTCCTCTGTATTACAGCCTTTGAAGCATTTGTAAAGTGCTATCATATCTCTCCTCAGTCTTCATTTCTCAAGGCTAAACATGCCCAGTTCTTTCAGTCTTTCCTCACGGTTTCCAGTACCCTGATCATCATTGTTGCCCACCTCTGACCTTGCTCCAATTTGTTGGCATCCTTCTTAATTCTAAATGAGGCCTAACCTGTGCCAAATAGAGGATTTGGAGACTATACTTCTGTTACTACCGCCAAAAACAGCATTTGCCTTTTTTGCACAAAATGTGTCTATGGATAAATGCTGGTGGGGATGAGCACCGGCCCCTAGAGTCATATACGACCGGACATAATCGTCAAGGGGCACTTTTTACGTTTACTAAGATGTACAGTTTTTCCAGTTTGCTTCCCATATTCCTGGCATTTGTATATCGACACCAGATATTGTGTGATTTGTGGTCTGCTTTCCTTCTTACATTTTAATGAAGATTATTTTTGGGCCCCATTAGAGGTGCTCGATCTGTTCCTCATTGTAAATAAGTCTTCATTTGTCTTTGAGTTTGCCTGCCCCCCTTCCAATTCAGTTTAAAGCCCTCCTGATGAAGTTTTTCATGTTCTGTCCAAACCCATTCTTTCCAGTTCTTATGAGTTTCGAGGTCAAAAGAAGTTATGAGGTCAACCCATCACTTCCCAGCCGTCCATCTTCCAGGAAGCTTAGCCTGTGGCCCCAAAAGCCAAATCCCTCACATCAGTCATATCTTTATAGCCACTCATTCACCCAGAGTATTTTCATTTCTCTTTCTATTCCTCTTCTGAATACTGGTAGGATGGACAAAAAGACCATCTGGGCCTCAATGTCCTTCAGCTTCCTTCCCAGATCTTCGAAGTCTGACACGAGTTCTTCATAGTTCCTTTTGGTTGGGTCTTTTGTTCCCATGTGGGTGAGCAGAAAGGGCTCTGCATCGGTGGATTTTATGAGTGATGGAAATCCTTACATTCAATTTTCCCTCTAATTTTTTTGCTAGCACTGGGTCCGAGGGGTTACCACTGACTTTAGTCATCAAAGTTATGGCTTCTGACTTTTCCCATTCCCCCACCCCATTATGTCAATGAGATGGAAAAATAACCTTTCTTTTCCCCCATATGCAGTCAAGACTCTCATGACCCCCTTAACAGGGTCCCCCCCTTTTTTCTTTTCTTTTCAGGGGCCTGCATGTCTGACTTGATTCTCCAACCAGATGTGGCAAATGGTGCCATCCAGCCTCCTCTGACTTGTACCCAAGACCCCGTGTCAAGAGCCTCGGCCACTCCTAACGAAGGCAAGGATCCTATTGTGGAAAAATTCAAAGGAAGAGAGAGCATTCAGTAAAACCCATAGGGATGACTGATAAAGTTGTACAAAAGCAGTGTGAGCAGCCCTCTCGGCAGGCATGTCCCGTACTTCATTTGGTTGGGTCTTTTGGGATCAGAGGACCTTGTGATCTCCATCACTGGCAGTCTTCTCCAGAGCAAAGACCAATACCTTTTCCCAGCTTTGATCTAGTATTCCCTGAAATGTGCAAGAGAAAGAAAAAGCCCCAGGGTGTATCAGTTCCTATTAGTTGACCAGGTTGTGGCCCATCCATGTTGAAGCAGAGCATTTTGTGAGCTGAGCAGGGGACATTTCAGCCTGTGGGACAGTCCACTTTGCCATGATCCCAGGTAAAGGTAAAGGTTCCCCTTGACAATTTTTGTCCAGTCGTGTTCGGCTCTAGGGGGCGGGTGCTCATCCCCGTTTCCAAGCCGTAGAGCCAGCGTTTTGTCCGAAGACAATCTTTCCATGGTCACATGGCCAGTGTGATTTAGACACGGAACGCTGTTTACCTTCCCACCGAGGTGGTCCCTATTAATCTACTCGCATTTGCATGCTTTCGAACCGCTAGGTTGGCAGGAGCTGGGACAAGCGACGGGCGCTCACTCCATCGCGTGGATTCGATCTTCCGACTGCTTGGTCTTCTGACCCTGCAGCACAGGCTTCTGCGGTTTAGCCCACAGCGCCACCACGTCCCTTGCCGTAATCCCAACCCACCCTGCAATAAGCCGCATGGAACACAGTAGGAATGGGGGTGGGTGGGTGTTTCTTGGCAATGCTTCTATTGCATGACTAGATGCCATCATCTTGAGTTGGCAGCCCTCCTATGCACTCCCAGAAGGGTTTCCCAGCGATTGCTTCCGGGAGAAAACCCATCAAGAACAAAAAGGCAGAGCAATAGCCCAAAACGTCTGATTGATTATGTGAGGCGCCTGCTTTCTGGAGGCATTCTCGTTTTCTGAATAAATATGCTTAGGGGTAGTTCATCAGTCAGATGTGGGCACCCTTTTCTCTTTGGGAGAAACAAGGGCTGCTCGTTTTTGAGGTGAATGGAGCTGCTTCTCTCATAACACTCTGCTCTGTATCACTGTGGAGGTGATCCTAATTAGCCGGGGAAAGTGTCAGCTGCCCATTTTGGCATATTCGAACTTGGAAACAGTAACCTTTGGGGGTTACAATGGCTAGAAATCAACCAACCAGCATTACTGAACTACAACCCCCATCTGCCTTAGCCAGCCAAGAAGCATACCTATGACTCGAAACAGATAAGAACAAAACTAGTTTCCCAAACTCTGATTTTAACATATCAAGGCGGAGAAGCCAGAACCAGGTTGTTTCCCCTCTTCCAGCCATTTAGTGACTCTGCTGAGCCCTGAGCATCCCTGTGGCTTCTGAGGTGTGGTTGGTGTCAGCAGAGCCAAGGACCTTCCTTTCCCCCGCCCCCCCCTCCTTGGCCTCCCTCCAGGATCCATCCATCCTGGATGTCGCCATCTGGGCTGCTGACTTGCCAGGACCTCTTGCTTGGAGGAGGGGGAGAGGGGTTTGCTATTTGGGGGCCAAATATTTAACCATTCATTTGCAAGGTGTTGGGTTCTTAAGAATTGGTCTGGAATCCCCCACATATGTGAAAACAGGCTGTCTCTGTTGTTTCTGTTGCGATTGTTTTTTGAAGAAGACAGAGAAATCATGCATCGAAATGCAGGAAAAGAAACGTGATAATCATCTCTTGAGAAGGGGGGGCATGAGTGGGTCTTTATCCTTCTACTGTTTTGCCTTCATGTAAGAGGCAAAGTGCTGACTATCCTTTTATTCCTTTCGGACAGCTACTCTACTAATTGTGCCTGATGACGGCACAGCGACTAACGACTGTGTGGCCTTATTGTGTAAATAAATGAAGAGTTTCCCACAGCCTGTGGTTTGTCAGCTGGTGTCATAGCACTTCAAATAGGCCATACATGTGTGGCACTTGTTTCCCTGGATTTTGCTTTGCCAAAATATATTAAGGGCAGAATTTGAACTAATCTCCCAGGAGAATGTGGGCAGGAGCTGGGTAGCATTCAGTTTGGAGCAAATCATCCCAAGGAGATGTGGGTGGGAATGTTGCAAAGAGAGCCCACAAAAGGTGCTTTTCTGGACTTGAACCCCCAGGGTGGCCAAGTCCTTTATTCCAAGGATGGCTTGCAGATCTCTGCTATCTGTAAGCATGCAAATGTTTCTTAATGGCTAATGGCCAAGATACCCACATGCCTTTTGCTATGAAATAAAACATAGTAGATTTGTGCCTGGCACTGTATTCTTCCCATCGGTAATGGGTCGTTCTCTGTAGTGAACAGGAGGCTGGACTAGGTAACCTTTGGTGTGTGATCCAGCAGAGCTCATATGTTTTATGTGTCATCCCCTGGAAATCTTGACCTTAAGGGTCATAGATTCCATCTTCTAGTTGCCCTCGCCCTTAAAACATGGGACATGGCTAAAAGCTTAAGATCCTGGCTTTACTGCCTTACCCCTGGCCCCAATTCAGGGCCAAGTGATGGCTGGGCTTTGGCATTTTGTATTCCAGTCACTGCCACAGCATCCAATGAGCCAAGCAAGGTCAGGGAGTTAAGTGCCTGTGCTCAGTTTCAGAAGAGGAATGGATAATTTTATGACTTCAATGATAATTTTATGAGCAGAGTTTTTCCTTTGGAGGATGAGCTAATAGGATGGGGCGCTTCAGGCTAAGGACTTGGAACAGCCTAACAGAGACCTCTGTCTCTCTCAGCAACTTTGACCATTAGCTATCATCGCCTTGGCGATTGCTCTTCTCCACCTGCAACAATTCAATGGCTATTGAAGATTTAAACAGGTAGCAGGAATTATGAGGGGTGGGGGAGATACTTCAGTAGTGGTGACCTGCAAGGCGTGTGCAATATTTGACTTTGTGCCTGAGAACAACGCAACATGCACATGTAGCAAGCGCAAACTGGCAACACCGCCGGAAGAAAAAGTGAAAGAACTAGAAGAGTGAGTGTCCAGGCTTTGGGGTGTAAGGGAAGATGAAGGGAGCATAGACAGACTACAGCAGCAGCTACAGGAGGCACTGGAGGGGGAAGATCAGCATGGTCAAAGCAGAGGAGGAGAGTGATGAGGAGAGAACAAACACAGAGGAGGAAGCGCCATGGAAAAATGTCATGGTTAGGAGCAAAAGAAGAAGACAATGCTCTTTACCAGCGGAATTGCAAAACCACTTTCCGATTCTGGAAGAGGACTCTTGAGACATATAGGAGACTTCATGGAAGAACAAGCTGAGAAGCTGAAGCTCAGCAAAGCAGTGTCACTGGACCTACAAAAACGAAGAGAAGAGTCGCTGCAGAAGGAGACTTTCTACTGTGTGGGACTGAAACTGAAATATGCTGGAAAGATCCATGGACTTGTCGGGTTGTGGGAAGCTCCTGCTCAAGGCCGTTAGTTGTTATCTATTACAGTGAGAGCAAACACTCCTAGCAGAGAAGCTCCCAGCGGACGGGGTGACCTCTTGTTCTGCCTTTCTGCTTAGAGTTAGGGCATACGGGTGACCTCTCGTTCTGCCTTTCTGCTTAGAGTTAAGGCATAGGTTCGAAGACTTTCTCCGTCCAGTCCTAGTGGCGATTAGGTAGCTAGTATCCTATCTGAATTCTCACAACATTCTGTGCAATCGTGCTAAGTTAATAAAGAGTTCTCAAGGCGTTGCTTTTAAGCTCCACCAGCTCCGACACCTGTGGTTGACTTCTCCAAGGTTAATTGCTTTCCTATTGTTCTGCTATCACCCACGTCATTAGCCTTCCTTTGTTCTCCAATCCTAGTGGCGATTAGGTAGCTAATATCCTATCTGAATTCTCACAACATTCTGTGCAATGGTGCTAAGTTAATAAAGAGTTCTCAAGGCGTTGCTTTTAAGCTCCACCAGCTCCGACACCTGTGGTTGACTTCTCCAAGGTTAATTGCTTTCCTATTGTTCTGCTATCACCCACGTCATTAGCCTTCCTTTGTTCCATGATCACCTACACCAGGTGTGCTGTCTCTCTGGAGGACCAATGAGGGGTGTGATGGGTGTGCAGCCACACTGTGCTGCATTGGTGCCATACCGGCAGCCATTGGAAACCAAGCCCTATGAGGAAAGGCTCAAAGAACTGGGCATATTTAGCCTCGAGAAAAGAAGACTGAGGGGAGGTAGGATAGTACTCTTCAAATACCTGAAAGGTATTCATACAGAGGAGAGACAGGATCTGTTCTTGATCATCCCAGAGTGCAGGATATTTAATAATGGGCTCAAGCTACAGGAAGCCAGATTTAGGCTGAATATCAGGAAAATAAATTATTTCCTCTCCCTCCACTCCATTTAACCCACATGCATGTACGCTGAATACCTGGATCAGGCTACAAATGTTAACAGCTCTTCTTTTCTATAAAAGGTCCTGAAACTGGAGGAAAAAACACATTTTTTTAATAATTAGAGTTCTCAGAATCCTCTGGGATTTGGTCAATTGAAGCCCCCGAAGTAATTGTTCCGAGAGCTGGAAGGACCCCCCCTCTCCTATCGCAATCGATGCCCAAAGGCTCCTTGCTTGGATTTTTATTTGTTTGTTTTGCATGGAGCTGTTGCACAGTCGCTGATCGCCTCTATTTCAAAGCGGAAGAGTTTGTTTTTTGAGGGGAGGGAAAAGGAAAGCCAAGCTAGAACAAACATGAAAGGTCTCACCATGTGCGATCAATGGTTTTGGAGCGTCTGATGTATGTTGACTGGTGTAAAGTAGCCACACTGGCACAATTAGTTGGAGCAAATCCAAGGGGTAGGCAGCCCTAGATATATTGTTTAAGGAATTAACAATGGTAGGTGCCAAGAGCAGAATAAGCCAATTGAGCTGGCAAGAGTGGTAGCTTTGGCTTCTGATGGTACCTTCCTACCCGCCTTGAGGGGAAAACAGGGAGCGAGCCATCCCTAAGGGCGCAAAGTGTTTACGGAATGCCTTTTGGGGCCAACGGATGACCCTGGGCATTTGAACAAGACATTCCAAAGGAGCAAAAAAGAGAAAGTGAGATTTATCGGTGATGGGGGCAGGATATAGGACAGTTGGAGTAGGCAAATTTCTACCTGTTGGGGTGCTGCTAAAGGCACCAAAGCAGAACTGGGAGGGGCTCTAAAGGTGGTTCCTTCGAAAGTATTGAAATTGCCGGTCCGAATAAAAAACTTTCAAAGGCTAAAGTCTAAGAGAGAAAATTAGTGCACATTAGAGCAATTGTGCAGTGGCTTTTCATTTTTTTAAAAAAAGTCTCCCCTCCCCAATTATTGGCATTGGAACTTGCTCCATGATCAGTTTGCAAACAGGGCGAGATGGGTTACACAAAGAGAGTTCGTTGCAAGAGAGGTACCCTTGCATGATCAGTCTTCAGTGG